ATTCCTACAAATACAAAGCCATTTTATCAATAATTTGCCAGACAGGATACATGAGACTTTACAAATGATAAACTGGTAATGTATAATGCATGCCCGATGTTATAAAGCACACAAAGTCCAGTGAAGACTCAGTGACTAGGAAACAAATACTTGCAGGAGGATAGAAACCTCATGAAATCCGTGCCCTTATCTTGGATAAAAAACAAATTAAAAAATCATCCAAATATAATGTCAGATATTGTATGATATAATGAAGATAAATGGTATGTGATTACACTGTCTCAGTTGCAGGACATACCTCTTCCCATCTGTCATTTTTACTTAAAAGTATTTGATAAAATTGCATAAAGTGAATGAGCCAAGGAGGAATTTGATAATTTTTTTTAAAAATTGGAATATGGTTTTGTTATTAGATCCAAAAATGACACAGTAATTATATGCAGTGCTACATAATAGTTCTAATTGCAATTGCAGTGTAATTACTTTGTCATGCATTTACTATCTCCATCTCCATCATAATTATTATGCATGGATTATGTTACCTGTTTTTCAAGTTTTCCACTATCTTCTGGAGGTACAGACTTTTCAATCATATGGATTCACTTTAAAATATAATGCCTACAATACTACCTCATCTCAGGAGTTCAACATATAAATATCAACAATAACAATACTAATATGTGTGAAAATAGATAATGTCTGGAAAGCCAACCCTATACTATTTCTTAGTTTATTTAATAAAAGTAAGAATGTCGGAAAAGGAATGTCTTTTTTGCAATTTAAAATGTTTTACACTACTCCTTTCTACACCATCTCTTTTCTTAGCAGCAAGAAGGTCCACATAACACAGGATGTAGGAGGTTCCAACAAATGTGAATGAGATTCCTTATGCAGGTTTTGTTTGTTTTTAAGAGAGACAGGAAGGAAGAGGGAGTCAGAGGAAAAAAGTCAACGTGAGAGTGAAACATCATTCAGCTGCCTCCTGCATGACCTGACCCGGGATCGGGCCACGACCTGGGCATGTGCCCTGTCCAGGAATTGAACCGACAATGTTTCGGTGCGTGGGACAAGGCCCAACCCTCTGACCCACACTGGCCAGGCACCTCATGCAGTTTTTAATGGAAAGAGTATCCACGCCACACACACTTGTTAGACCAGCAGTCACAATTCTTTCAACCATATTGTGGCCAGCAACCTTGGTGGACAAGCACAGCTGTGGATCAGTTCACCTCTTTTCCATGAAGACCCCACGCTACTCCATAAAATGTCCTGTTAATATTGTGATAACACCAAATGCTACAACCTTTGACATACTTTAAAAAAATTATAATGTATGGAAATAGATAACTTTAAAGAAAGATGAAAAATAGGGGTGCCCCTGAGCCCTCGACCTCTGAGCACGGGCAATGGAGCCAAGGCCTGGGGCTGCTTCCTGGGTGGCGCCGACCCTGGCAACAGGCTGGAGCAGTGCAGGAGCCCGCGGAGAACAAAGGGGTCCCACAGGCCAACCTGATGAGCTCCCAGGACAAGGAGGAAGAAACCAAAGAAGTTCTCAATGTGAAGAAATCAAGTGAGAGCAAAAGATAGTAAAATTACTTAAGAAAGAATACAAAGAAGAACTTGAAAAATCAAAGACTAAGTCAGAACTCAACTCACCAACCAACATTGCAACATATATGCTTAAAAAAAAAAAAAAAAAAAAAAAAAAAAAAAGGACAGAATGTTGGAACAGCGGCGGCCAGGCCTAGAGTGCCCAGACACAAGGAAGTGGCAAATGGGCCCGGAGCAGCAACGGCCAGGCCCCAGAGCAGCAGCAGCCAGAACCAGAGCAACAACAGCCAGCACTGGAGCAGCCAGACCTGGGGCAGTGCCAGCCAGGCCTGAGGCAGAGGCAGCCAAGCCCAGGGTGGCCAGTCCAGGAACACCCAGACCCGGAGTGGCCGGGCCCGGAGAAGCTGGGCCCAGAGCAGCTGGGTTGGGAACAGCCAGGCCCAGAACAGCAGTAGCCAAGCCCGGAGCATCCAGGCTGGGAGCGGCCAGACTCAGAGCGGCCGGGCCCGGGGCAGCCAGGCCCAGAGCAGCTGGGTTGGGTGCGGTCAGGCCCAGAGCAGCAGCTGCCAGGCTGGGAGCGAACAGGCCCGGAGCAGCCGGGTCGGGTGTGGCCAGGCCCGGAGCAGCGGCTGCCAGGCTGGGAGCGGCCAGGCCCGGAGCAGCCGGGTCTGGTGCGGCCAGGCCCGGAGCAGCGGCTGCCAGGCTGGGAGCGGCCAGGCCCGGAGTGGCCGAGCCCGGAGCAGGCGAGCCCGGAGCAGCCGGGTCGGGTGCGGCCAGGCCCGGAGCAGCAGCAGCCAAGTCCAGAGCAACTAGGTCGGGAGCGGCAGTGACCAAACCCGGAGCAGCTGGTTGTGGAACGAACCAGAGCAACAGAGGCCAGGCCCGGAGCAGCCAGGCCCGGAACAGCTCGCTCCTCACCTGCCCCTGACCCACGGCTGCCTCTCAGACATGGCTGGAAACTTTTGTGGAAACTTGAGGGTCTGCTGAATCAAGTGATGAAGGCTTAGATCTGGATGTGTTGAGTTAGTATAGGGCTGGGGTGTTGATCTGTGAGTGCCTTGGGTGGGGCCTGGATGAGGCTGGTTGACCTATTTGGAAATGTCTTTTGTGTGAAATGTATCATTGGGCATGTGGAGGTATTATTGATATGAGAAAATGCTAAGTAACTGATTTACTATCTGAAAAGGGATTTACTATTGGGGAAAGGGAGGGAGGAAGAGACTGAACATAAACTGCACCTATGGATGAGGACAATGGGGGATGGGGAGGGGGCAGAGGGTGGGGTGGGAACCTGGTGGAGGGGGGAAGAAATGAGGAACCTTTGTAATAATTTGAACAATAAAGATTGATTTAAAAAAAAAAAAGAAAGATGAAAAATAGATGAATAATGGAAGTTCTGTAATGGTTAATTTTATGTGTCAACTTGGTTAGACTATGATGCCCAGTAGTTCGGTCAAACACTCATTTAGATGTCATTGTAAAGGTGCTAGCTAGATGTGATTACCATTTATAATCAGTAGACTATAAGTAAAGCAGATTATCCCCCATAATGAGGATGGGCCTCATCCAATCAGTTGAAGGCTTTAAGAATAAGGACAGTGGTATTTTGAAGAAGAAGGAATTCTCTTCAATACTGAAGGAGAAATTTTACCAATTTCTAGCCTTCAGACTCAAGACAGCAGTACCAAATCATCTGACTCTCCAAGCCTACAGCTTGCCTTACAGATTTCAGATTTGTCACCATTTACAATTACATAAGCCAATTCCTTAAAGTCCCTTCCTCAATATCTCATCTTTATATTGATTCTATGGAGAATTTTTATTTCCTTTTTCCTTTTTTTTTTTTTAAAATCCTACCTGAGGATATTTTCTATTGATTTTTAGAGAGAGTGGAAGAGAGAGGGAGAAACAAATGTGAGAGAAACACATTAATCAATTGCCTCCTGCATGAGCCCTGACCAGGGCCCAAGCCAGGGAGGAGCCTGCAACAGAGGTACCTGCCCTTGACCAGAATCAAACTTGGTACCCTTCAGTTTGCAGGCTGGTGCTCTATCCACTGAGTCAAACTAGCTAGGACTCTCTGGAGAATCTTGACTAATTTACATTTATTCAGAATATTAAATATACTAGAGGCTCAGTGCATGAAATTTGTGCACTCGGGAGTTAAAGGATGAGGTCCCTCAGCCTGGCCTGAGCCCTCTCGCAGTCTGGGAGCCCTTGAGGGCTGGGTCCCTCCCCTCCTAACTGCCCTCCCCTGCGGGCCTCATCCCCCTCAACTGCCCTCCCCTGAAGGCCTTGTCCCCCCTCCCCAACACAGAGGCAGGAGAGGCTCTCCCTGTGGGAGCGCACTGACCACCAGGGGGCAGCTGCTGCATTGAGCATCTTCTCCTGGTGGTCAGTGTAAGTCATAGTGACCAGTAGTTCTGCCGTTTGGTCTATTTGCATATTAGCCTTTTATTATATAAGGTTATGTATTCTCTTTGAAAAACAAATATTTTTTACTCTGTTTATTTACAGAATATTATCAAGTTCTATACCAACTCTTTGTGTGTTTTTTTTTGGGGGGGGGGGTTGTTTGTTTGTTTTTTAACTTGAGAGGCATTTATTTATTTTCCAACAACATGAATCATGGATATGAGCAATTAAATATTTTATCTCCTCAGGAAAATACAGCATTATTGAGTGACAGTTACAACATATGGAGAACTTCAATCTTTGGTCACAGTGTTAAGAGCTCCTGGTTTTGGTTCCACAAGCTTTCTCTGAAATTACCTACCAATGCTTCGTTTTGTGTTGCTTTTTTTTTTTTTTTTTTTTTTTTTTTTTTTTTTTTTTTTTTTTTTAAGATTAGGATGAACACTCTTTATCTAAAACTTCATGAAACCAGCTGAGAATAAAGTTGACATATTGAGCTTACATTCTTTCTATAAAGCTAGATTTACGTACTACATATTATGTACTTTTCATAGAAACTACGTTCATCTACTTTCAATAGAACAAATAGTATGAAAACACACACAAAAAGCTAGATGATCATAACTCCCAGTTAATGACACCTGGCTATTCCTCAGTGGGTTGTAACCAAGTGCATTCACCTTGTAGGAATACAGCAACAAAATCAGATTCATGTGAGTAGCAATTGCAAAAAAAGATATGCTCTAAAATCAGGTGTACACTACAGTTTTTTTCTGTTGTAGAGCTAGTAGTTCGGTTAAACCCTTACAAAACAATTCTTCCTAACAAACAGTACTATTTCCACATGAGAAAACATACTTTTAAAAAGTTATCTTTATAAGTGGCAAGTAAATTACAGTAGCTTATAATGTTAAAATGATACCCTATTGTTCGGTATGTAAAGGTGCTAAATTATTTGTAACAGCCCACAAGAGTGCTGTGGGCATCCTCCAGGGGCATGTCTTCAGCGAGACACTGCAGGCCGAGGTACTTACTGACTGCAGAGTCATAGGCGGTGGCATTGTGCGTGCCTCTCATGAAGGGGTATGGCGACAGGTAAGCATGTGTGCAGGTCTTGGATGCCGGCTGATTGCCTAGGAAGGAGAGCAGAACAGTGGTATGTTATTGAGCACTTGAGTGAGCACTGTTCCTAAAGAAGAGAAGCAGGGATTCTGGGTTATATCAGCTAAATAAAACGGTAGGGAGATCAACAAATTCAGAGAACTGCTGAGTGAAGGGGGAGACTTCCCAAAAATCTCGTAGAAAGAAGCACAAGGAACCTGGAACCTGGACACATCCTGAACATCTGACTCCTGGCGTGATTCAATGCAGACAAGGCCTTTCTTGCATCACCTTAACCCAAAGGTGCTGGCTCCCTTATTTTCAGGCCCATATTTTCAGTTCCTGACATAATGCCTAGCACATACTTAATTATTAAAAAATAATAGTTATGAAAGTCTCATAAACTTAAGTTTAACCTTGATCAGTCCCATTAAATATAAAATTTATTTTATAACTTGTTTCTAGGGAAAAGATGGAAATAATAGATCACAAAACTTAATAATTCAAATACATTTCTAGCATTTGAAGAAACTACAAGAAATAACTTTTATGTTTGAAAACTTGAAGACTTCATTTTATACATTTTAAGGGGCAGTGAAATATTCTTCCTTTCTCTAAGTCCTTGGCAAAATCTTCCTCTTGCACAGTCTTATTCACTCCATTTTACCACAGTCTAAATAATTTTTGACACATCACATGCTTATTTTCCTCCCGAAATGACTATAAGAAGGTCTATCAAATCTTCCTCTTGAAATGCCATTTACACATACTGTTCCTTTTGCACATGCCTGCTTGCCGTCAGCTTGCTCAAGTCTTCCCCATGTTTTTATGATCTATTCCATCATTTTGACTTTTGAGTAAATATCATACTTGGGTTTATCACAGTAATATTTCATAAGGAGACTAATAATGTCAACCCACAATAAGCTTTAGGGTAATAAACAGTTTTCTTTCTTGGAAGCAATAAGATAAAGGCTAATTATTTTCAGTAAATTTGTTTTTGAAGATTAATACAATAAAAGGAATAAAGTTAAAAGAATGCATCACATTTTTAAGAAGCTGCTCAACAACCTTAACAACCTTAACGTTTCTGTGTGAGAATTTGAACATCAAAGACAAGGTATTTCTTGCTATTGCCCACAAACCTGGTTGAAACTCAAGTTGAGCAAACTTTCATCTGCCAGAGGTGGTAATTAAGTTTCATTATTTAAAAAGAGATTTTTTAACTTTTAAAATTTCTATTTCTGGATATTTTAAAAAATAAATATTTTTATTTGCAATATAACAAAGAACGCTCAAAACTACTATAAATAATACTTCTTAGTTAGTGTTGGTGCATTTTAAATATGAACAAGAAAACGACAGATAAAAATCTAAACTCCTACTTATATGTTGGAATAAAATAATGATTGCCACAGCCATTTCTACTCACTAGACCTTTTGGAGATACCTATTGAAATTCTACAACTAAGAATCCAATCCTTTTTGTGACTGACAGGTACTAAGTAAGAAGCCGCTCGTTTTTATTCTGAAGGCAAAGGAGATGAAACAGAAGCGCACTTACCGTACCAGAACTTCCAGAGGTCGGGCTGGTTTTCCCCCGCGGCCCCGCTGAACCAGCACCTCCAGAAGAACCCCTCGTGGTGGAAAGTCACATTCTCTACCTGCACAGAACACAAGCGGGGCACAAGGAGCACACTCTGAATTCTCATGGCCAGGGGGCTTTGCAAGCAACGAATGCCACCCAAATAGTGATGGTCACTAGTTTTCTACACGTCTCTCCTATGGAGAAATAGGCACTCCTCTACTATTCTCCCATTTCAAGAGAAAGCAAAAGACTTTCCCCACCAAATACACGAATAGTAGGAAAAAGAAACGCACATTCTGTTCACCTGAACATTTCCCCACTTCCGTCACAAGAAGCCAGTAGTCCGATCCAAACGCCACCAAAAAGAGTAAAACCCCTAAAGCACCAAAGAGAGCCCCAAAGAAGATGGCGATATTTAGTCTCATTTTCAACTCACTGGTTTCCCTTTAAACAAAACAAGAAAATTTTAAATGGCAAACACCTAGCTCCTCAACAAAAAAGGAATAAAGATTTCTGAGAAGGCAGAACCGTCTTGAGAAGCCTCTCCTAGCTCATGTTTTGGCGACTTCTCACTCACAACCAGCTGGTGGATTGTATTCCCTTTGCTCACCCCTGGAGGGACTCCAGCTCAGCAGCTGAGAATGGCCAGCTATTTTAGGAAACTGATTGAGGAGCTTTCTCTCTCCTATGGGAATCAAAAAATAGCTGACCTTCTCCTGACTGTGGAGAGGGGTACCGTGAGCTGGAATGATCATTATCGCTGGTGAGTAATCCATAGAAGTGGAGGGAAGATGGAATGGCACAGCCTTGACAGTATTGGCCCAGTCTTAAGTGCCTGACAAGCTCCTCTTAATCTAGAGTGGCCATTGAACCCCAAAGACACGTAAGACTTGTTTTGAAGATACAGAAATCACAGCCATAAAGAAACACAAAGACTTCTCTTGAATACAACTAAAGTTATAATTAATTTCCTAATTTATTTTGGATGTTTTGGGTACAGGAAATAATTTGCAGGTCAAATGGTCTAACATAAAACTGAATAAAGTTCAAGTTTATAACCTAGAGATTTAGATGTGTACTTAAAATATCCAAGAATATGGTAAAATAAACTGTTTAAAGTATTAAATTGTACTCATAAATAGAGAGTGGACAGACAGCTCTGTGTGAAGGGTACTGGGGGAGGATGGAGGGATTGCACAAAAAAGAAAGAGAAAGAACTCATGGAGACAGACAGCAGTGTGGTGATTGGAGAAAGGAGTGGGGGTAGAGGTAAGAGGAGGATAAATGTTGATGGAAAATAAAATAAGATGTACTTCTATGCAGCACACAGTATTGACACAAAAATAGCATTTTCTACACCAGCTCCCAGATCTCATACAAGTCATTCCAATAATCATCCCCAAAGTGGACTGATGAAAAAGAATTCTCAAAAATATATGGTTTTCTGGATTAAGATCAAAGAATTTGGTCCTCCCTTTCTTTTGCCTTCTTCATTGTAAGTATTCAATTTCCTCAAAAGATGAGTCATACTTGATACCCATATAAGCCACCTAATAGCAATGAACTACACTTTCTTCATGCCTTGTCTCTATGGTTTGTGTTTTCTTTTCATGTCTGAATATGCCAGATAATATTTTTAGGTATTTGTATAATATTTTTAAACTTGACTGTCCCTATGGCAAGTGGTTTTATATTCTCAATGGTAATGAGGCACCATATATTCTCATCTTCTAAGAGGCATCTGAATTATCCTGGCTTCCCTCGCCACTTCTGTTTGGCATCTTCAGGTATACATTTGGTAAGAGGACACAAAGATGACGCCTCAGTAAGGATGTAGGGCCTTGGCCAGCTCCTGCTATATGCACTGAAGGTGCTCAGAGGACATGAATGGAATTCTAATTAACAAAACCAGTGACCATGAAAGTTAAACGGGATTTGAGAGTTCATCTCAGCTGATCCCTCATCTAATACCAAAATCTCCTTTAAAAGACTCCCCAAATCATCAAGCCATACCATTTCCAGCATGTCGGATGTAAGACATCAGTAATGTCCACATCGTTCTGCCTTAATTTCTGCCAAAAGCTGTTTCCCTAAAGTTAATTGACCCTATTCTGTCCTCTGATTGCACATGACAGGACCTCCTGATATTTTGAGGAGGTAATCATCTTGTGCCTCCTACAAGTGCAACCGCATACCTCCCCTAAATATAGGTCTTTTTCTTCTAAAGTAAACATCTATTCCTTTAAGCATCCCTTAGATCGACACAACTCCAAATTTCCTTGCTGCTCTGCTTCTTTGTTACAAATTTGAAGATGGAAGTGAACAGAGTGAAATACTCCGAGTGTAGTCTATGGCCTCATACCGCCCCTTTCCTCATTTGGGTGCTGTGTAACAGCCTCCCAAAGGTGGCCAAACTCTGATCCTAAACATAGTCACATAATATTTGAGCGCGATTCCTTATATGTAATATCCTGGGCTATACAGGTAGGCCCGCCTAAATGCATGAATTCTTGAAAGAATTCTACCTGGCTGGTGTGGTTCAGTGGTTGAGCATCAGCCCATGAACCAGGAGGTCACGGTTCCACTCCCTGTCAGGGTACATGCCCAGGTTGTGGGCTGGATCCCCAGCAGGGGGCTATGCAGGAGGCAGCCAGTCAATGATTCTCTCTCATCTGTGATGTTCCTATCCCTCTCGTCCTCTCTCTGAAATCATTTTTTTTTTAAAGAAGACAATCTTTCCAGACAGAATGGTGGGAGAAAGAAATGTAATCAGAAATGGTCAGAGAGTTTTGAACAGGGAGGAAGGAGGACACAGCCAAGGAATGTGGGGCTTCTAGAGGCTGGAAGAGAAGACAGCTTTTCCCTGAGAGCCTCAGGAAGGAATGCCAGCATCTCAATTTGGGGCTTTCTGACATTTGGGCATACAGGGTCACACGTTTGTGTTGTTATAAGCCACTATCTTTGTGTCAATTTGATAGAGCAGTAATTCGAAATGAATATAGATGCTATTTTATAATTAATGCAATATCAGATCAAAATAAGATTTTAGCAGGGGAGGGGGGAATAAATTTGCAAAAAGTGTTTATTGAGAACTTGTGAGGGCCCAGGACTTTATCAAATTTTAAGGTTACAATACAGTCCTTGACCTTGAGGAATTTCTGAGCTAGGTGACAGAAATGGCTCCTTAGAGTTAAGTACATAGAGGTTGAAATGATGGCCTTCTGGCCCCAGATACATTCTCCTGCTCACCTCACACCGTCCCCCAGGATTAGTGGGACGTGTTTGTGGTTGTGCAGTGTGCTTGTAGGTGACAACTTGCTGTTGGGAGAGAAAGGAGAATCTTTTTAGGAAGACTTTTACTTATTTTACTTCTATCTCAATCATTTGTCATAAAAATGTATGATATTTCATATTAATACATACATTTTTATGACAAAATATGTATCTTCTGGATAAACTCACCAATGACTAAGATTTTCTCACCATATCTTAAAACATATAAGCATCATTATTAAAAATGTATATTAGCCGAAACCGGTTTGGCTCAATGGATAGAGTGTCGGCTTGGGGACTGAAGGGTCCAGGGGTCGATTCCAGTCAAGGGCATATACCTTGGTTGCGGGCATATCCCCAGTAGGGGGTGTGCCAGAGGCAGCTGACCGATGACTCTCATCGATGTTTCTAACTCTCTCTCTCCCTTCCTCTCTGTACAAAATCAATAAAATATATATATTTAAAAATGTATATTAAGCCAGTTATTAATGTGACCTAATTATTTTCAACCATTCAATCATGTGCACCTACTTGAGAAAAATATAATGCAATACTTTTACATCATAAAACTGAAATATTTTAGCTCAATTATCCTCAGTGCTTCTTACAGTTCTTGACACATAACAAGGACTAAAATAAAATGAAAATCAATATGTATTAGAACTCTTGGCTGAGAGGCAAATGCATGACCTCCTGAGTTACCCATCCAGAGACGGCCCCCATCTGGCCTGGCCTGCTCTTTGTGAAATTTGGAGAGATGGAATTTATCAGGGTGTGTGCTTCCTCCAAAGATGCCCACAAACCATCTTTTAAAAATCTATTTTAGACTCTTATGGAAAAATGAAATAAAACTTACAATCCAAGGATCAAAAAGTATCTTCTTCAGAAAATGAGATCCTTTGCCAATCATTTAAAACTCCTCTAGAGTTCCATGATTCTCAAATATTTCTACCAGCCGTTCAGCATCTCTCCCCTCCGCTCTCAGCAGCCTACAAAATTGCCTGGGCAGCAGGAAGATTGTTAAACAGGTGTGCTCTCATGATCTCTACAAATCTGGGCTCAGGTTCCCTTTTCACTTTCTTCCTCTTTTAGTGAAAGGCCAGGAGATGAGGAGACAACCACACCTGGGCACCAACCTCTATGCACAAGAGTCCTATGATGAAACAGCTCCACTGCTACTGTGCATACCTGTCCCTTGTGTGAATATTGAACCCACTTTCATGCTGATATGACTGTCACACTGACTCTCATAGTTACAAGCATAAGCGTGGTGCTCAGGCTCCCACCTGTGGGAGAGCTGGACTATCAAAAATGTAAACCAAGATGAATAATAATAACTAATATTCATAAGCACCCACCATGTAGCAGACACCATAGTAAGCACATGAAATACTTTTAATACAACTAAGTCTTCAATAGGCAGAATATGAAAGGACCAGTTTTTCAGTGGGTGTCCACTCTGTTGGTCAGAAATTTTAACATGTAAAAGTCTTGATCGTAGGAGTTAAACATTTCCTTGGTCACATGAAGAAGACCAGAGGTTTTATTCTTTTTATGAACAAATAATACTCCATTGCATATATGTATCATTGTGTTCTTTATCTGATCATCTATTGATGGACATATAGGCTGCTTCCATGTCTCGGCTATTATAAATAATGCCACAATGAACATACAGGTGCATATGTCTTTTTTAATTTATGTTTTGGATTTCTTCAGATAAATATCCAGAGGTGGGATTGCTGGTCGTCATATGGTAGATTTAATTTTTTAATAAACCTCCATACTGTGTTCCATTGTGACTTCACCAATTTGCAATCCCACCAACTGTGCATGAGGGTTTCCTTCTCTCCACATCCTTGCCAACACTTTTGTTTGTTGATTTATTGATGATAGCCATTATAAAATTTTACCATTTGCAACAAGAATGAACCTAAAAGTTATTATGCTACGTGAAAGAAGTCAGACAGAGAAAGACACTCTATCATTTCAAATGTAAAATCTAAAAAAAAAAAAAAAAAAAAAAACAGAAACAAGCCCATAAATGCACAGAACAATCTGATGGTGCCAGTTGGGTGCCAACTTAGCAGGGGAATCACATAGTAAGTTATTGAAAAGGGTTTTAAATTTTTTAAAAAAAGGCCAGAGGTAAGCAGAGAGATCTGTGTGTCTGCGTGGACCCTCACTACCAAAGGCAATTCCCAATGCTTTATGGGTTATGTTCTATGTTTATGTCCTCTATGTTAGTCATGGCTCCGCCACAGCTTTCAACCCTGAGTTCCCTGTACCCCCAAAGCTAAATGAAGGGCAAGGAGCCGAGAGGGATGGTGGGAGTGACCCTCCACGGTGAACCGGGGGCAAGAACAGGAACTGCAGGACCAGCTTCCTTGTCACATCCTGTCCCCGCCCCCCCACCCCCCACCCACCCATGGACAGTCTTTCAGAATGAGGATTTCAAGGAATTAAGAATAATGAGCATTTTCTTTCGAGATGAGTGATCTAGGGCAAATTGCTCATCTCTGTGAGTCTGCTTTTATGGGGAAAATGGGGACAGTGCTTCAGAGGGTGACGGGGCTATCAGGCAAGAGGAAAAGGGCCCAATAGGTTGATGCATCATACATCAGGCTTCTTTCTCTCCTGCCGTTAGCTGAAGATCATTCTTGATGAAAAAGTTTTAAAAGGAATAAAATAAAATAAAAGTCTCTATGTTAGCATTCCAGATCTGACTCAGGTTGAGTTTATCTCACAGACTAACTTCTCACCAAGTGCCATGTTCACGTAACCATCCTCCCGCACCAAACCTGTGCCTAACTGCATCCCTGTGGTTGTAGGCCATTCTCTCCCACCTCCCTTACCAACTCATTAACCCTCTCAACAAATATTCACCAAGTCTCTACTGTGTGCTGCATGGTTCAGTGTTGAGTTTCAACAAGACTGTGTTACACAACCTATAACACTTTTCCATTTTGTTTAATTCAGTAACATAGGCAGTTTCTGCAACCCTGCTTCATGGGGGAAAAATAAATCAAGAAATGTTTTGTTCATTAGCCAATTAATTTAATAATAACCGAACAAGTGAATCTTCCCATAAAAATTGCGTCCCACAGTGCCCCTGTGAAGACCAGTAGGAATTTCTGAATCCCAAAGAGAAGTGTTTCCATAGAATACTGCTGTCACTTTAACCTTGGAGACACTGCCAATTCATCAGTGCTGATCACTCACCCATTCTGAGCCAAAGTGTTGTGTCCCAGAGCAGAGACAGGCCTGAGATGTGCTCTAACCTTAACCAGCTATCTTCTCAGGGCACTGTGAGGGCTTCTCTTCCCTTTGGTACCTACACAGTTGGAGGCCAATGGGTAAAAGGCAACGGCCCCTCCTCAACCCGGACTTCCCCAGTTTCCTTCCCAGGTGCCCCTGACTTTCTCTCATACACACCTTTTTAACCTGTTATTTAGAATGCATTTATGTAAGCTCGTTCAAATACTTTTGAGAACAACATGAAAATTAAACAATGAAGCAAAACAGACATTTTGTGAAATCACATATTAGGGGTTGCGTGTCCAGCTAAAAATGCTGGTCTCATTTTTTTTTTTTTCATCGTAAAGATCCCTGAATTATTTATAGCCATTCCCCCTTTCCCCTCGTCCTGCTTGTTTCTCCTCTCACACCCTTATCTGAGATCCTCCAGACTTCCTGAAAACTCCCCTTTTGGAGGCACTTGTCACTTAGAGAAATCGTGGCAAAAATGTTTTTACGTAACCATTAAATTAAAACAAAGTTTAAAAATGAACCTTTTAAAACCTGTATATGAAGATCATTAGCATTCCAGGATACAGGACTGAATTCCCTTCCCCCCTTGTTTCTTGTTACCTGTTAGGCGAAACTTGACAACCAAAGGCTGAATGACTGTAAGTAATGAAAGGCTTTGCTTGTTTTCATCTACTGTCCTTTTATTAGTTAACTGTGTGTGCATGTGCTTTCCCCTCTAAGGTCATAATTTCCTATCCTGATGTTGCAATAGTCTTAATTATCTCAAAATATCTAATGAAACTATTTAAACATTCTCAATACAAAATTAATTCCAGTTCACTTTATCTTAAAAATATATATAAGAGCATCAAACAATGCTGAACAAATTTGTAAATAAATATACAAATCAAATTCCCAATGCTCTTACAGAATAGGAATCATTTTCCAGAAAACTAGGATGTTTTTTGGTGTGGGTTTTTTTTGTTTTGTTTTGTTTTGTTTTAGATTTTAGGGTAGATTCTTTTTAATCATGAGGTAATGTATTATATAATACATCCACAATACTTATATCTGCCACTTCAACATCTAAAATCTCTGAAAACCAAAAGCTTTAGACAAAGCAGCCCTGACTGGCATAGCAAGTGGATAAACTATAGTGTGAGCTTTCATTTGTTTGATTGCTGAAGAATGAGTATGTTAGACAGCAGGGCTCCCCAAGTTCAACCAAGAGTGTTGGGCAATGCACAGTATGTTCACACAGTTACTTGTCCGAAATCCCCCAAAATCCTGAGTTCCAAACACATCTGTCCTAAAGGCTACATATAAGGGAGTGTGGTCCTGGAGTCCTACATACAAGATGGTGGACCGGGTGATGACCCTAAAACCAATGGTTTCCCCAGGATCATCATTAAAACAGACTTTTACTCCCAGTGAACCATCACCATGCGTCTCTACCACTCTGATGAACTTGTTAATCTCTGCTTGGTATTGCAGTTGTTGGTTCTTGTGTTTCATCCTCTGCACTACCTCCCTCAGCAACAAGACAATAGCAGCACACTGTACAACATTAACAGATTATTCACAAGCCTTCTCCTCTCACACATAGTACAGGAACAACAAACAAACTCTATAGCAGCAATAACTCTCAGCGATTCTGTTTTTGTTTACGGCTACACAACACCCAGCACAGTGCTTTAGGTAGGTGCTCAGAAAAAACTTAGCGGGTCCAATACTCTTACTGACTTGAATTGAATTGGGTTGAACACTGCCATCTGCTGGCCACTGGTAAAATTTGCACTCCAAGGACTACTATGATCAGTTGTCAGGATTTTGATATAATGCAACACTGTAGTCAAGGATTTGTTATTTTCAGAGTTTGATGCTTTACAGCTTTAAGATGGTGCCATCAAAGTATCCAGGCCCTGAGGAACAACTCACACTGAACACACTGTTACAAGATCCAGAGACTCACTCACCCCATTATTTAAGCAGTTTACAGTCCATTCGATTGAGAGCTACACACACAAGTAACTCACACAGACGCAGTTACATTACAAAAAGGTCCTTCACTTTGAAAAAGGTTTGCTGCCCAACTCTGGGTTCAGTTCCATAGGAACCTTATCAGTGCACTTAAGTGCATTGACTCCTGAAAGGGCAAAAAGTTGGAACATATTTCTTTAAAAACTGCCCTAATTTGCAGTCAATCTACAATAAGACATTTTGAAAACAAAACTGGAGACAAAAGTGGAAATTCTTTGATTCATAAAACCATAAATGGAAGGAAATGTAACTTGCAGGAATTTATTAGGTAAAAAGACATTTTATTAAATTATAATTTTGATTAATCTACTTCATTCCTTTGTTTTGTTGTAGTTCTTTCTGAGGGCGTATATATCATTCCATCTGCCAGAAGCCACACAAATGGAAAGGTTTCCTTCTCCTGCCCCTTGGTGGTGAAAGTGTTTTTCATTCATTTGAGTGCAAGAACGTAAGCCTTAATTTAAAGAAAGACATTTTTATTTCACTTTGGCACTGGGGTATGCTACCTTCTCCTTAAATACCTTGCCAGTAGGTCCTTTTTGTTGATAAAGATGAAGATGGACTTTTAATTTCCATTCCCAACTGCTTCCCAAGGAGAGAGGCTCAGGGGAGCCCAGGGTCCCTGAATCAGGTCAGGTCCTGTGCCCCAGAGGAAAGACAATCAAGAGAAAGAGACTGGGGGAGGGGAGGAGACACATTCATATGCCCTCGCTGCCCCAGGTCTGCCTGAGGAGAAAGTAGCTGGTGTTGGTGTGAAAATGCAAACAGAAGCAGCAGATAGGGAGGGAGAGGCCCTTGTCTTCAGGATTGGAAGGTGCCGCCACAGTTCCTGCATTCATGGCTCCACAGCCTTCTCTTCTGATTCTGCTCAGCCAGCTCCTTTGCTAGTATTGTAGTTGCTTGCACGTGTGGTAATGGGTAAGTGCTTAAAAATTTGGACATCTGAGGATACTCAAATAACACACAACTAAATACCAAACATGACAGCAGCAACAGAATAATAAAGCCCAGCACTGAGAACATTCACTTTGTCCCAAGGCAGTATTCTAAGTGCTTTGGGTTTATTAACTCATTTAACCTCCACAATAACCCAATGCAATAAGTGTTACACTTTCCCCCATTTTAGCAGTGAGGAAAAAGAGGCAATTCTGAATCTCTCTGTGGCAAAATTTCTTATTATGGACTCTTTTGCATACCACAAAATTCATATCTTGAATCCCTAACCCCCAATGTGACTGTATTTGGAAAGAGGGATTTGAAGGGGATTCAGGTTAAATGAAGACTTGAGGCTGGGCCCTCATGTGTCACCCCAGAACATGGAACTAAGGTGAAGGGTTAGATACTCTAGGCAGATTTCAGTTCCACTTCAGTTGTCAAAGAATTATTTGTGAAAGATGTAATAGCCACGTCCTGCATGGCTTAGGTTCAGGAACTGGAGAAGGTCCGCACACAAATGATGAGATTAGGCAAGAAATCCAAATTTGGAAGTCACAGGGGGCCTGGCGGAGAGTCTTTCTCAAGAGGAAAGGCTTCACTGGTGCCCAGACCCTGCCAGCTTTTTATTCAATTTTAGGTACATATCTTGCCTGTAGTCAGGTAGGCAATTCTGGTAGCAAACAGACTATCTTAAAGGTCAGTAAATGTTAGAAAAGATTTTCTTTGAAACTATTAGGTCAGGAAATTGCTTAAGCCACCATTGTTTGGAGTAAACAATCAGTGCATAGCTTTGTCCCTTGCCAAAGCTCAAGGTCCATTGAGAGGGCAGGGCGGGGCGAGGATGAGCTCCCAACTCCGCCCCGCAGGGCGGAGTTATCCCTAGTCCTCACCCAACCAATCAGGGTTAGCCGAGGCAGTGACATCACCACCGACCGGAGTAAAACCCCTGGACTGGGAGAAGTTCGTGCTCTCTTCCGCCTTGCTGCCGGCGTGGGTGGGAGGGGCCCATGCTAGCATGGAGAAGGCTCTTTTGCTTATTGCATTGGACTCGGCTCCCTGGTGGTCCTTGGGGATCACGAAGTCTGGGCATAACAGATGGGGGCTCGTCCGGGATCCCCAGACAGGACCATGAGGGGACCCGATCCGGAGAGTCTGACTGGCTGCGGTAGGTGTGTGCACGCTCTGGAGGGACATAAAACCCCTCATGGAATTGGTGCCCGAAGACGCCTGGTGGACGCACCATGAAGGCTACGGGCAGGAGGATCAGAAGACGTTCTGACCTCCCGGGAGGGCCCTAGAGGGACCCTGATGGGGAGAGGGATAAGCCTCTCCCAGGAGGAGGTGAGCGGCGTGAGCCGTTGCCTCACCTGCAGAAAGTGAACCTTTCCCAGGTCTGAGTTTGGTATCTGTGGGTGACATGGCGCCCCAGGATGGAGCCGGCGAAGTGTGGCCGGCGTGGCGGTGCGGGGCCCCCTGGCGGCGTTGGGTTGGAGGGGGTGCTCCTGTGGGGCTCAGTCTGCACGTTGGAGTGCGGCTGGGCAGTGGTGGCCTCGCTCGGGGAGCAGGCACCTGGTTAATTTGCTGGCTGCCTGGAGAAAAAGAGGCGGAGCCAGGAAGCCTCTGGGGCGACCAGTGCTTTCTCTCCAGGGGCCGCCTGAGTAGCGTGGCTGGGGTGGCTGAAGCAGCCTCGCTCCGGGGGCCTGGGCCCAAGGGGCCTGGGCCGGCATGGAGGCATCTGGTCCCTGGCGACATCCAGTACTGGAGAAGAGCTCAAGGGCGAATCTCTGTGCTCAGTAAAGAGAAAAGGCCAGTTCAAAACAAGTGCACATAGTTTTGGGCTGTGCTTAAAACTTTTCTGTGTACAGAATGAGCTTTAAACATGGTGGAGATAACTGGGAGATAAATTAAAACTGGTTTCCCAAGACATTGTAAGCAGCTTTTGTAATTCCCCACCATGAGGCGGAAACTAGAGGGTAATGGTAACAAGTTTACATGAATGGTGGTGAATGGCCATGAATGGTGGTGAATGGCCAGAGTCTTCAGCTAAAGAATGTGTTCATTTGCATTTGAATGCTGAAAAAAAAAATGTGTTCCTGAAACTTTACCTTAAGTAAACAGGATGTATTAAAAATGTAATGTTATTAATCTAAGAAATGCCAAATTTATTTGACTTGCCAGCTTTAAAAGTTCAAAGTATAAATTGAATTAGGAAAAGTTAATTGCAGTAACTAGATGCCTAGAATATGGCAGGCTAAACTGTATTATATGTGTTTAGAATAAGCAGTAATGATCAAAGATCTCAAGGATTGATTTATTCTCATTTGTCAGATGAAAAAGTATGTAATGCTTACACTTAAAAAAATTATTTTAAGTCAGTGATGCAGTATTTTTTTAAGTCAGTTTTTCTAAAGTAATGTTTAATGTAACATATGAAACTTTTATATTTGTTTTGCTTTTCTCATATGGCATTGTTGTTGAATTTGGGCTTGTACCTGCATCTTATATTTTGTTTAAACTTTGGGAATCATTTTTGGTTTCAGTCATGTGTATAGATTTAAGTAGACTTCATCACAAAGGTTTATAATTTATTTAGAATTGTGTTAAAACAATGTGAAAACAATTATTTGTATGATTTAACCCCCCGCGACTGCTTGGACAATTTTCTGCGGGGGGAGTAGAGGAGAGCTTAGAAATGCAGATAGATCTGTATCTGTAGGGAAAATGTGGCATTTTACATTTCAGGTGGCTGGAGGCCTAGGAACAGTACTGGACCTGCTCCCTCCTCCCTTGCCTTTTCTTTAAAATTTGAAGCATGGTTATGTATTTTTGGAAGATAAGATTTTTATAAAAATTATAAAGAATATGTCCTGGCAGGTTAGCTAGGAGAGGCAAGCCTGTTAGTTTCCTGATGGGCATTGGGGCACCCTATTTAGTCTTGAGAGAGCCAATAGGACCCGTACATCAGCCCAGGAAGCCACCGGACAAACTGCCTGTTTTCCTTGGACATCAAGAAGGACTGTGGTCCTCGGAAGGAACACGTCCTGGGGGAATGCAGCTGTTGAACTGGTCCAAAGTGGAACAACGGGTCTTTGGGGAACTAAAGAAGGCTCTCATCTCAGCAGCTGCCCTAGCCTTGCCGGGCGTCGCGGAGCCCTTCCACCTCTACGTGAGTGAGGTAAGAGGCATTGCCAAAGGGGTTCTCACTCAGACTCTAGGTCCCTGGAAGAGAGACTGGACCCTGTGGCAGCAGGGTGGCCAGCATGCTCCCAGGCGGTAGCCACTACAGCACTGCTGGTGAAGGAGGCAGATAAGCAGACTTTGGGCCAGGAGCTATAAGACTGGCCATCAACCCTGCCAGCCTGCTTCCAGATGATGATGGAGGAACCCATTCATGACTGCACAGAGGTAACAGACAACAAGGTACTGTTCACGGATGGGAGCAGTTACATTCAGGATGGGACCTGATATGCAGAGGCAGTGGTAGTTACCCTGGACCACACAATTTGGGGCACAGTTCCAGAACTTTTGGCCTTAATCCAGGCCCTTTGATGGAGACACTGTGCCATCCACAGAGAAAAGAGGGTTACCAACTGCAGCCAGAAGGAATTGGCTGACCAGAAGCAAGCCACTGAAGGACCAGATGGTTGATGGATCCTCCAGATGACAAGACTGTTGGTCCCAGAGGCTCTAGGTCAGAGTTGCCTGGTGACACCAGGTTAAGTGTCACCAAGACTTCTGAACTTCAGTGAGGCAGAGTTGCTAGAAGTACTGTCTGTGCACAGGTAAATGCTAAGCAAGGTAAGGGGATCCCCCCTGGGAATTTGGGTCCCAGGGAACCTCCCAGGAGAGCATTGGTAGGTGGATTTCAGAGATTAAACCACCAGCATTAAGGTCTAGTTTTTATAGACACTTCAGATTAGGTTGAGGTATACCCCACTATCAGATAACAGCCCCACCTTGGTA